CCACTCCTCTGTCAGAGGCATTCCAAGCTGGACAGGAAAGTGCGGGCCCCGAGGGAAGGCCCCCGCTTGGCCACAGGAACACCTTTTCACGTCATTCTTAACCTGACCTCCCGATCACTCTGAGACCCCCCAGCCCAGGCAGACACCGGGGCGGTTAGACCGGCAGCCAGCCGTGCACTTTCCCTTCAGTCCCTCGGGTTGCTCGGCTTTGTTGCCCCTCCTCTGGAGTATAGTCAGGGTACCTGCTTCTCCTTCTCACGGCATGGACAGCGAGTTTTGAGAAAGGAAATCTGTTAGCTGATACTAGGCACATGTCCCTCGGGCCACTTCAGCCCTTCCCCTTACAAACTAAACAAGAACAGCAAACAGGAAACGCTCGTCTTTTAAAAATTACTCTATTATTATCAAATAGAACCACAGTATCCAAAAGGTAATCAGACAGTTCTATCCCTGACTAAATGGCCCTGCATCGCGCCTGTGAGTGGCTGGCAGCCAAATCACTGCCCCCGTGCAGATTGTTTTCATCCATTTTATTGTCAAGGAAATTAACAGCCTGAAGGGGTTCCCCAGGCCCAAGCGCTCCCCCCTGGGGCCCTGGGGAAGCAGGCAACAAGCGACCTGGTCTCACTACCCCCTCCTGGGGAGAAGGGACAGGAGGGGAGGAGGGTTCACAGCAGAAGGGCTTGGGGCGCCCCGTTCCCGCCCACTGGGCTCAGCCTGGGGGCAGCCGAGGCACCTGTCCCAGGGGCCTTAGACCCTTGCACCTGGCTGCTCATCTGGCCGGGGCAGGGGCGGGGCGCATGCTCACTCGCCCGTGTGGGTCCGCAGGTGGTACTTGAGCGACTGCTTGTAGCGGAAGCACTTGGCGCAGTGCGTGCAGGGGTAGGGCCGCTCGCCCGTGTGCGCTCGCTGGTGCTCCAGCAGGTGGTGCTTCTGCGTGAAGCGCTTGCCACACTCGGCACAGTGGTAGGGCCGCTCACCCGTGTGGATGCGCCGGTGTTCCAGCAGGTGGTGCTTCCGGATGAAGCTTTTGCCGCATTCCGGGCACGCGTGCGGCCGTTCGCGTGAGTGCACGCGGCAGTGGTTGGTGAGCTTAGATTTTTCGCTGAAGCTCTTCTCGCACTCCGGGCACTTGAAGGGCCGTTCACCGGTGTGAGTCCGCTGGTGGCGCAGCAGATGCGATGGGCGGCTGAAGCTCTTGCCACACAGGCTGCAAATGAAGGAGACCTCGTGCTTGCCCGCATGCACACGCTGGTGGATCACCAGGCTGATGTGCAAGCGGAAGCTCTTCTTGCATTCCGGACAAGTGTAGGGCCTCTCCCCGGTATGTGTGATCTGGTGCTTGGTCAGGCTTGACTTGTGGCTGAAGCTGCTGTCACACTCAGGGCATTTGTAGGGCTTGGGGCCACCACCACTGCCTGAGCTGGGTGACTTGGGACGCGGCTTGAGTGAGTGCTTGGGATTGAAGGCTGACCCGCGCTCGGGGGAGCCGTAGCCACTGCGCGCCCGATGGATGCGCTGGTGTAGCGTGAGCTGCTGCTTGTGGCGGAAGCTGATCTCACACTCGGCACACTCATAGGGCCCCTCCTTGATGTGGTTGCGCTGGTGGATGATGAGGTTAATCTTCAGCCGGAAGCTCTTGCCGCACTCCATGCAAGTGAAGGGCCGCTCGCCACGTCGGTTCCGCTGCTGCTGGCTGGAGGTCCCGCGGCTCTCCCCCAGGTGCCGCTCACCATGCCCATGAGAATGCCCATGAATGCTGGGCACCAGCCTCTTCACTGATGGGTTGCCCAGCTGCAGGGGTGGGGGGCTCTCCTCGCCCTCGGGGGACATCTCCCCAGGCAGGGGGGTCTGGTACATACTGGCCTCGTACCTCCCGGATAGCGGCCCAAGGGGTTGCAAGTGCTGTGGCAGGTCGTCGTCATCCTCCTCTTCCTCGTCCTCCTCTTGCTCCTCAGTCTTTATCACGATCCCCTCTGCTCCAAGGTTAGAAAGCAAGAGTTTAGCTATTATCTAGAACCCTGACCCTGGATAAGTACAAGGTTCCATCCTCACCGACAGACTTTGTGCTACACATGTGTGTACACACACACACACACACACACACACACACACACACACACACACACACACAGATATATACATATATTGATCCAAATTTCTCCTTTTGGGAAAATCTAGTTCCCTGTCCCATGATTCCTACCTTCAGATGAGCAGTCGTGAAACCCAGAGCTTAACAGGGCTCTTGAGGAAGCAGAGGAGATGGCTATTTGGTGCCCTGGTGCTCAGGATAGGAAGCTGCTGGAGGGTCAGTCCTCAGAGGGAAAGAAACCAGTCCCAAGAACCATTACACTGTGCCTGAGCTTGTGTTCATGAACTCAAGTCTGGGGGCCAGCAAAGTTCCACTGTTCCTGCTGCAAGCCGCAGGAAAACATAATGGAATTCAGCCACAATCACAAAAGCTACTACCTGGAAAAGTCAAGGACTTTTCTGAAGGTCAAGCCGTGGCTGAAGAAGTCTTGGTGCTATTTTAGCTTTTGTCTCTATGTTAGCTGGTTCCTACAGTGATTTTCTTGTAATGCTATGCGTGCTTCCAAGAACTCCTAACAATGTATTTATCTAAAATACCTATCAAGCATCCAAGGCCAAACAATCTCCTGAACTAAGGTAACACCCTTGTGGAAACGACGCATGTTCCCTAGGTCAGGTGGATAGCTTTTTTCTTGTGCAACCTGAGACCCTCCTTTTCTATTACTAACATCATAGACTCCTAACTTCTTACCTAACCACTTCTAGGAATGTAGACTGAGCACATAAATTCCCTTTTTGATATATTAACTGATCAATTAGTTCTCAGTTGACCTCCTCCTTTACCACTCCCCTTCTGGATTGTAAAAGAAAGCCTGGTGGTCACTGCCTGGGGAAAACTCTTACCTGCCTTTATGACCCTGTAAGAATTCAAGCCTGGTGACCTTGCTCTGCCAGAGGACTGCTATTGCTTGGGTTTATAACTGGATTTCTGAGAGACTTGGGGAGAACTGAGAGAATAAGGAGACTGAGAGGAGGAGAGAGAGGGGAAAAAAGAGAATGGAAGAACTAGATGGGTGAGAACTGGAGAGGAACAAACTGAGATGGGGAAGAACTAGATTGAAGGGCTAGAAGAGAGTACCAGAGGAACAAGATGGGGAAGAGCCAGATGGGGAAGAACAAGATGAGAGAGAAGGAGATGGGAGAGGAGCTAAGATGGGTAAGAACGAGATGGATGAGAACCCAGATGGGGCAGAACTAAGATGAGAGAATTAAGTTAGAACTTAGAGGGGACAGCAGATAAATGCAGAGAAAAGTCAGGCAAGAAAGGAGCTAGGCACAAGAGCAGAATAGAAGCTGTGTAGAGAGAGAACTATCACAGAATAATAAAGTGTATGGACTAAGGAGTTTCGTGTACATAGATTCATTTCATATCATCAAAGATTAAATTATCAGCTGGTTGTAGATTCTTCCTGGACCCTGGGAGGGGACTATCTTCCCGGACCCCCATAGTCCCCGATACTTTTCTTTTGGAGCTAGTATCTGCAGCGGTCTCAATGGGCACTGATTCATAACTTTCTTCTTCTCTGTCTTCAGACAGTTCTTCCTCCCTGAGCCCACCTGTTTCTCATCATACCTTCATTGACTCTCCTCCATTAACTCCTCCCTCCTTCTCAGTCTCCATGTCTTCTTTTGTGATCCTGACTTTCATTCTCCCACCTCCATTAATTCCACCCTCCTTCTCAGTCTCTATGTCTTCTTTTGTGATCCTGACTTGTGAGTGACATTTAATACTAACTGAGCTCCTCTCTGGTGGGATTCAGGCTCTGGTTTTCTGGGGGAACCCAGGGAACTACAGATGCAGGTCTCACTGTGCAGCCAGAACAAGGTGTTCTGAAAACACCAGCCTCACAGCTTCCTTCAGGCTCCAGAGGGCAGTGCCCCGCAATGCCCAACTGGTGGAGTCCCCTTACCTCCAACCTTGGCTTGTCCCTATAGGATCTAAAAAAAGCCAGGTTCAGCCGGGCGGTGGTGGCGCACGCCTTTAATCCCAGCACTCGGGAGGCAGAGGCAGGCGGATCTTTGTGAGTTCGAGGCCAGCCTGGGCTACCAAGTGAGTTCCAGGAAAGGCGCAAAGCTACACAGAGAAACCCTGTCTCGAAAAAACCAAAAAAAAAAAAAAAAGCCAGGTTCTATGGGGGCCCCTGAGAACCTAAGAACATCTCACTCATTCGAATTCTCCAGGTGCTTTTGTAGTCCGACCTTTGGCATTTCCTAACCAGTTTTAATTGGAGAGGTTTTTTGGTTTGCTTTTGAGACAGGGTCTCTCTATGTAGTCCTGGATGCCTTGAACTCAAGAGTTTACCTGTCCCTGCCTCTTAAGGATTAAAGGTGTGTGCTACCATGCTCAGATTTTTTTTTTTGAGAACATAATTACAACATTTCTTCCCTTTCTTTCCTCTCTCCACACCCTCCCATTTACCCCTCCTTGTTCTCTTTCCAAATTCATGGCCTCCTTTTTAGATGTTATTACACACACACACTCGTAAACATAGCCCACCATACATACATGCATGCATGCATACATACATACATACATAATACACACACACACACACACACACACACACACACACACACACACACACATTCCTAAGTATAATCTACTCAGTCTGCATAATGTTATTTGCATATATATTTTCTGGGATGACCTTTGGTGTACCAGATTTTGTTATTATCTTTTAAGTGTGTATCTATGTGTGGGTATTGGATCCCACTGGAGCTGGAATTGCAGGCAATTTTGAGTTGCCCAAAATGAATGCTGGGAACTGTCCTCTTAACCACTGAGTTATGTCTCCAGTCTAGTTTTTGAATTCTAACAAAATCTTTGTAGAACATTTTATGCCTGTCTTTTGTACCTGAGCATAGCATGACCCTTTGGGGGGTGAATGACCCTTTTACAGGGGGCGCCTAAGACTACTGGAAAACACAGATATATATGATACATAACAGTAGCAAAACTACACTATATTGTATGGCTGGGGTCCCCACAGTGTGAAGGACTGTACTAAAGGGTCACAGAGTTGGAAGGTTGAGAACCACTGCCCTGAAGCTTGTAACCTGCAGTGTTTCATGAGTATGCTGAGTGAACCTCCACACCTGGCCTCTGTGCACTTACTTAAATCTAAGGAATTAGGTCCTGACCACTTGACCAGGGACACCATGAGATTTTTATTAATTGAGAATATGCAAATTACAGCCAGATGTGGTGGTTCATGCTTGCACTCTCAGCACTTGGAAGGTTGAAGCAGGAGGAATCAAAAATAAGGCTAATCTAAACTACAAGTGGAAGCCCTCAGTCTCAAAAACAAACAAATAAAAACACAAAAAGGCAACCAAACAGTGGGGCACCAGAAAAGCTGTCAGGAAGGACACTCCAGGGTCATCACTGAATGCCCCTGCTACAATATAGCACTCCTGGGGAGTGAGGACACGGGATTATGTAGTTACAGGCACTGTGACTAGTCGACCAGAGAAGGACAGGAGTCTCTCAGTCTCCCTCTCTCTTTAGAGCTTAAAAGGAAAACCCCAGGGCAGGCAAGCTGTAAATCTCAGCAGCTGCTCAGAGGAGACTGGAGAAAGGAAGGAAAAAGCTATGCTGTGTGAGTTAGGCTGGCATGGAGGTCAGAGAGGCGCTCTAGACAAAGAGGAAAGAGAAAGCACACTCAGGCTCTGGCCAGCACCAGGGGTGGGGGATGAGGGGGGTAGGGGAGATGGATAGGAAAGGAAAGAGAAGAGTTAACCCTTTCTAGGTTAGGACTCAGAATGGCAGGCAGAGCCAGCAGACCCTTGTATTGGCTCACAAGGACTACCCACAGTTGTTTTTAAAACATGCTTTTCTTGCAGAGTGTGTTGGCACACGATTTCATTCCTAGCACCAAGAGGCTAGCCTGGGCTACTTAGTGAGACTCTTGGCTCAGAGACAGACACCAACACCCAAATAAAACCACCAAACTCCAAAGTCACAACGATGCTGAGATGAATGAGAAGGAAGTTGGAACTCTGCCACTACCTGGGTGACCTGGGACATGTTTCTGTCCTCATCTGCCTTTGAGTTCTTGTTTGAGCCAATCTTGGGCAGAACAACTTCTTTCCTAGGCTGGGAGGTTTTATTAGGACCACTTGTGAGGAGACAGGGCCCTCCCTCTGCACCCCCGCCCCCACCCCGCCCCGGAACTTACCCGTGCAGCTCCTCTGCTGCACCAGCATCTGCTTGAGCTCGCTGAACTCACTGGAGCCTTCGGTGGACTCCTCCAGTGTGTTCTCTGGCTCCTGCATGTCCAGGTCTGGCTGCTCTCCACACGGGTCACCCAGCTCTGAGTCCTGGAAGCCATGCTCCTCCACTTGTCCCATCAGCGGCTCTGGCGTCTCCAGTCCTTCTGAGCCCTCATCGTTGGTCTGCACCTCGATCTTAATCACGATGCCATCGTGTGCTGAGGAAGGTGAGGACACACAGAGCCGTCATGCCACCTCCCCAGGTTTCTACAGTCCTAGCATTTACATTCCAACAGGTCTTTTTAAAGAGACCCTAAAAAATACAATAGAGTTAATGGTGAGCAGAAAGAATTTTCTGGACACTTTGTAGTCTTGAATGCTAATACAAATTGGAGTCAAGTTATAATCGATTAAAAATTTATTCTCTATAAATCCTAAGTTGTTTAGAAAATTATTTCACAGCCAAAACCCAGTTTCCCTCTTGCTGGTCCATTCATGCACCGAGGATCATAAAAAGGTGTCTCCTCACTTCTCAATCTGACCGGTTCTTACAGACTCCCAGAAGGCCCTTCTCTTGGCCCGCGTAATTTCCCACACAAGTATAACTGTGAGAGGGGTGTTTGGGTTTTGTCTGTTTTTAGTTAGACAGACTCCATCAGATAAAGGGCTGTAACATTTGTGTTTTCTTGCATAGATCTATATTAATTTCAGATGGGCTTTATAGATGTAGCATCATTCTACACAAATGGGAGCATAATACCCATTTTTGCTCTTTTTTTTTTTTAAAGATTTATTTTGTATTATTTATTATGTATACAGAAGAGGGTGCCAGATCTTATTACAGATGGTTGTGAGCCACTATGTGGTTGCTGGGAATTGAACTCAGGACCTCTGGAAGAGCAGCCAGTGCTCTTAACCTCTGAGCCATCTCTCCAGCCTCCATTTTTGCTTTTCAGTGCAGTCTTTTTTTCCTATTAATTTCCTTTCTCCTCTCATTTCATCATTACAAAGATAACTCCTGTAATTAGCTATGATTGCCTCTATGCTTATATAGTTACATTCATATCAATATACATACATTAATTTTATTCTTGGGTCACTGTTGGAATTAAAATAAAACAGCCTCTTTTTCTCCTCTGTGATCAACTATCTTGTAGAAATTCCTTCAAGCTGATTTTCCACAGTGCTAAATAGTCTTTTAAACGATTCATATATCCCATCCTGTGGCACATACTGTAATTTAGCAAGTTATTCCCCAATGGAAAAAACACTTTTTGTCCTTATCTTTTGCTACAGTAAACAACACTATAACAAACATCTGTTTATATCCCCAATTACAAAATAGTTGTTTCATTTCTATGGGACCACAGCATCCAAAGATGAAACAATGTTAATTTTGGCGGATCAACCAGATTGCTTCTCAGTAAGGCAATGGAAGCTCATCCTTCACTAGGCTGTGGAAGAGAACCTCTCCCCACATGCCGCCAGCCACATTTGCATTTGCTCATTTTCCTCAAGTAAAGTACAAAGTGGCAACTTTGATTCTACTTCTTTTCTGTTGTTGCTTCATTTTGTTTTTGTTTTCTGAAACAAGGTCTCACCCTGTAGCCCTGGCCGGTCTGGAAATCACTCTGTAGCCCAGGCTGGCCTGGAACTCCGATCTGCCTGCCTCTGCCTCCCAGTGCTGGGACTAAAGGCGCTAACATTAAAGGGCACTGACAGCCAGGCTGATTTAACATTAAAGAGCACCGACAGCCCCGCTGATTCTGCTTCTTGGATGGGGAGGTTTAGATATGGTTTCCTTTTTCTATTGGTCCTTTAAAGTGATTTCGTGTAGGGAGTACCACCTAGTTCTAATTATTTTTAGATATAAGTTAGTGATGTATCCTAGTCTGAGGGGCGGAGGCAGGAGGATCAGGAGTTGAGTTAAAGCAGGGAGATGGTGGCACACACCTTTAATCCCACTCCGGGAGGCAGAGGCAGGCGAATCTCTCTGAGTTCGAGGCCAGCCTGGGCTACAGAGTGAGTTCCAGGAAAGGCGCAAAGCTACACAGAGAAACCCTGTCTCGGAGAGGAGAAGAAAAAAAAAGGCTATAAAAAAGAAAAAAAAAAAAGTTGAGTTAAGGGCTGCACGTGCTCTTAAGTGCTGAGCTGTCTCTCTAGCTCCTATTTCTCATTTCTGAGAGAGGCTCACGCTCAATTTTCCAGACTGTCTTTGAACTCACTCCATCCCAGTCAGGTCTTGAATTTGTAATTTTCCTGCCTCAGCCTCCCAAACTTCCAGTCCTGGTGGTCTGTGTATCTTTTGAGTATCCTCTAAAGGAGTGTTTCTCAACCTTCCTAAAGCTGTGACCCTTTAATACAGTTCCTCATGTTATGGTGACCCCAACCATAACATTTTTTGTTGCTACTTCATAACTCTAAGTTTGCTACTGTTATGAATTGCAATGTAAATATTTTGTAGAGGTTTGCTCCTGAGAACCACGGTTCTAAAGACTCACATGCAGTCAGTTTGGCTCCTATGTCATGGTATTGGGGGGCGGGCTTTAAAAGATGGGTAGATTGGGGGCATTGCTCTTGTGAAGGCAGTGATGCTGGCTAAGAACAAGTCCTGGGTTTCTCTCTCTCTCATCTCCAGGATGCCATCTGCTGTGCTATGATGGAGCCAGAAGGACTCCTAAGAGAAATGAGGTGTTGGCGACAGGCTCTCGGCAGCCAAAACTGTAAGCTAAACACACTTGCTTTCTTTTCCAGTGTCAGGATCTCACTTTTCAGCTCAGGCTGGTTTGGAACTTATAGTACAGCCTAGGCAGATCTCAAATTAGCGTTGCAGGCAAGGATGACTTTGAACTCTAATTTTCCCAACCTCTACCTCCTAGTGAATGAGATTATAGATACACATCACAATGTCTACAACAAAATTGTTTTCTGTATAAATTCCCAATTTTAGGGTAGTTTGTTGGAGCAATACGAAACCGATTAACCTCACCCCTTCTCCAGCCTCTCCTCCCTCCTTTAACCATGTCCACACTCTCTCCTTATGCTGCCTGTCTTCATTCCGGGGGCCTCACGAATTGTGCCTCTTTATCCTGCCTCGAGTCCATAGTAAGTCATTACAGGCCCTCCAGAAACACGACTTCCCTAACCTGCATAAACTCCTGAAAGTAGTTTATTTGTCTACTCCCTAAAAGAAAATTTCAAAACAGTCTCTTTGCACCTTTTTGAATAAACCTATAGGTAAGCAGGGTCACTGCTATGATTGACCACTTGGGAGGCTGAGGCAGGATTGTCACAGCTGGAGACCAGTCTGGGATACAGTGAGACTGTCTAAAAATATACCCCATTCCTCTTCACCGTGAGCCTGTTTCCAATCCCACTTTGCCCATGGAATGTTATCCTAATAGAATGCGCTTTCATGCTTAGGAGCCTTTTGATGATCACCTCATCTGCCACAAAAAATGTTCCTATAAATTGAAAGATAATCTTGCTTTCATCTCTAATAGTCACAAGGCTGGACATGTTCATTTCTTCCTTGTTGAAGTTATCCTTAGCAACAATTATGCAGAATGATAAACAGTTATCCAGCATGGAAAATAAAAAACTTTGAAAACAAATCTTTTATAAGGGTAAGTAGGAATTTTCCTTAATTAGTTCACTTACTAGAGAATGAACACATGTTATTACTGTATAATTAGACAGATCAGAATCAGGTCTATTCTGTTTTTCACTTTTTAAAGACACAGGTATGGGTGGGTTGGAAAATCTCAGGTGGAAAATGTCACTTGATTCTTTGAACTTACTCTAAATTACATGTTACAAAAAGCATGGGGTTAACACATCATCAAAAAGTGTTCTTAGCCCAGCAGTGGTGGCGCACGCCTTTAATCCCAGCACTTGGGAGGCAGAACTAGGCAGATCTCTGTCAGTTCGAGGCCAGCCTGGTCTACAGAGTGAGTTCCAGGACAGGCACCAAAACTACACAGAGAAACCCTGTCTCAAAAAAACAAAAAAACAAAACAAAACAAAAATGTTCTTAATGGCCATTGGCTGACAATTATGTTCTTTTAATTTTGTTATAAAGCTAAACCTAACGTGCAGTAGGGCTGTCATACAGGCCCAGGAGCAATGCCCTTCTGCACACACCTTCCACCAGTTTGGATCATTTGGGTGGTGACAGGGGGTTCAACTCAGAAATGCTCCATGTAAGACTGGGACAGGCGGGGGGGGGGGTGCCCTCTCATTTCTTGTGGTCCTTGAGATGGAACCTGGGATCTCATGCAAGCCAGACATGTCTATTTTTGTTTAAGGTATTGTACTTATGTAGCTTGTTTAATTATGTAAAGTTTTAGTCCTTCAAAGCTATTTAGGATAATAAAGAAATACAGGTCAATAGTCACCCATAACTATCAAAAAAAATATATCATGTTAGATATATTTTCAATGTCATACATAGATATATTTAGATAGATAGGTGATCTTCAAATACTTTAAAGTTCTACAGAATATGGCATTTAAGATGTTTTAATAACATAAGGTTTTTTTTGACAGTGAGACACGCCTGATGCCAGCAGCACCAATTTACTCCAAAGAAGATGATGGGCACTGAAGAAACTCCATATGGAGTTTGCTTTCTTTGTGGCAAAAGCTAGCCACTGGGCAAAGAAACTGCCCTTGCCTCAATTGCTGACAGTATACTGTCCAAACTAGACCAGCAGGATGCAAAAGAAAGCAACTGCCAAACTTTGCCAAGACAAGGTAGGACAGTCCTTCAAAACGCCCTGCTTCTCAGAAATGCCTGTCAGATATACTAGGCCTGTAGGCCAGGGTTGGATGCCTCAGCATTACAAAAGAATTTTGGGTGATTGTCCAGGCAGCCAGATGTCCCTGTCATTAGGTAACATCACATCTTTCTGGGGTCTTTGATGGAGTTAAAGACTAAATAATTAAACTTATAGTTTTCCTTAGTTATGATAAAAAGTAAATTAGATATAAAACTTTAAACTCATAAAGATAAGATACATAATGGGGTATTTTCTCTGATTTTGCCAAATACAAATGGACTGGATATTGTGAATATGATTCTTACTTGATAAATATTTTTGTTGTATATAGTTTTACTATGTTAAAGTTAAAGCCTTCCTTTTTAATTAAACAAAAAGGGGAAAATGCTGTGGAATAATCTGTTTGTACACTGTGAATATGCATTGCTACCATTGTT